AGTAAATCATATCAAAATTCATTTGTACTGAAGTGCCTATTAATGAGTCTTTCTAGATGGCTACTGGCTTAGAACTTTTTCCTTTTAAAGCATCTGTATTCTCAAAAAATTGTGCATAAGGGTTAAATTCTGGGAAGCATATTCTGAGATTTTCTAGAAGATGCAAGTCTGCAGTGTCTGCATGTAGTGGCCACAATCATGGTTTCTAAAGTCAAAAGTCTGGTCCCATATGTCCGGATTAACTTCACCTCTGAGACAGTTCCTTCACATATAAATAGAAAAAAAAAAAAGGCAACTACATTCCAGAGCAATAAATGAGATCAAGCACAATTCACAGTAAAAGTTATCTAGTATGAAAAGAGAATTAGAACATAACAAGTTGTTTAAAAATATTTAGCACCATTTTCACCAGTAGGTGTCACTCTACTCTTAGTTCAGACCCCTGTGTTCCAAGAGTACTAGGGAATGTAGATGATAAAAGAATTCCCCTAGATACCTTACAACTAAACAGCATAGTTTTAGTTTAGGTACAGCCTCAAAATTGTTTGAGAGTTAAGAACAGACTTATTAAACACACACACACACACACACATTGGGGGAGGGTTGGAAAGTGATCCTCCAGGTCCATAGGTGTTCACTATGCTACTGGGGAGTAGCAGATAAATAGCTCCAGAAAGAATGAAGAGGCTGAGTCAAAGCAGAAAAGATGTCCTGTCTGTCTGATGGTGAAAGTAAAATCTGATGAAAAAGTAAAGTCCAATGCTGTAAAGAAGAATATTGCATAGGAATCTGGAATGTTAGGGCCACGAATAAATAAATAAATAAATAAATAAACTGAACATGAATAAATAAACTGAACGTGGTCAAGCAGATGACAAGAGTGAACATTGACATTTTACGAATCAGTGAACTAAAATGGATGGAGTAGACTAATTTAATTCAGATGAACATTACATTTACTACTGTTGGCAAGAATCCCTTAAAAGAGATGAAGTAGCTCTCATAGTTAAAGAGTCTGAAATGCATTACTTGGGTAAAGTCTCAAAAAACGACAGCATGATCTTGGTTCATTTCCAAGGCAAACCATTCAAATATCATAGTAATCCAAGTCTATGCCCCAACAACTAATGCTAAAGAAGCTGAAGTCAAACGGTTCTATGAAGACCTACCAGACCTTCTAGAACTAACACCAAAAGTTCTTTTCATCATAGGGGATTGAAATGCAAAAGTAAACAGTCAAGAGACACCTGCAGTAACAGGCAAGTTTGGCCTTGGAGCACAGAATGAAGCAGGGCAAAGGCTAACAGGAGTTTTTCCCAGAGAATTCACAGGTCATAGCAAACACCCTCTTCAAACAACACAAGAGACAACTCTACACATGGACATCACCAGATGGGTCAATATTGAAATCAGATTGATTATATTCTTTGCAGCTGAAGATGGAAATGTTCTATACAGCGGGCAAAAACAAGACTTGGTGCTGACTGTGGCTTAGATCATAAACTCTTTATTGCAAAATTCAGACTTAAAGAACATATGAAAATCCACAAGGCCATTCAGGTATGACCTACATTAAATCCTTTATGATTATACAGTGGAAGTGACCAAAAGATTCAAGGGATTAGATCTGAAAGACTGCCTGAAGAACTATGGATGGAGGTTAGTAATACTGTACAGGAGGTGGTGACCAGAACCATCCCAAGAAAAAGAAATGCAAGAAAACAAAATGATTGTCTGAGGAAGCATTACAAATAGCTGAAAAAAGATGTCAAAGGCAAAGGAGAAAGGGAAAGATAGATCCAACTGAATGCAGAGTTCCAGAGAATACCAAGAAGAGATAAGAAACCCTTCTTAAGTGAACAATTCAAAGAAACAGAAGAAAAAACAGAATGGGAGATGAGAGATCTCTTCAAGAAAATTAGAGATACCAAGGGAACATTTCATGCAAAGATGGGCATGATAAAGGCAGAAATGCTAAGAACCTAACAGAAGCAGAAAAGATTAAAAAGAGGTGGCAAGAATACACAGAAGTGTACAAAAAAGGTCTTAATGATCCAGATAACCACTATGGTGTGGTTACAAATCTAGAGCTGGACATCCTGGAGTGTGAAGTCAAGTGGGCCTTAGGGAGCATTACAACCAACAAAGCTAGTGTGTGGGTGACTGAATTCCAGCTGAGCTATTTCAAATCCTAAAGATGCTGCTCTTAAAGTGTTGCACTCAATATGTCAGTAAATCTGGAAAACTCAGCAGTGACCACAGGACTGGAAAAGATTTTCATTATAATCTCAAAGGAGTGCAATGCCAAAGAATATTCAAACTACCATACAATTGCACTCATTTCACATTCCAGGAAGGTAATGCTCAAAATCCTTCAAGCCTGGCTTCAATAGTACATGAAATGAAAACTTCCAGATGTACAAACTGGCTTTAGAAAAGGCAGAAGAACCAGAGATCAAAATTGTCAACAACTGTTGGATCATAGAAAAAGCAAGAGAATTCCAGAAAAACATCTACTTCCGTTTCATTGACTATGCCAAAGCCTTTGTGTGGATCACAACAAATTGTGGAAAATTCTTCAAGTTACGGGAATACCAGACCACCTTACCTGCCTCCTGAGAAACCTGTACACAGGTCAACAAGCAAGTTATAACTGGACATGGAACAATGGACTGGTTCAAAATTGGGAAAGGAGTACATTAGGCTGTATATTGCCACTCTACTTATTGTTTAACTTACACATCATGTGCAATGCCAGGCTGGATGAATCACAAGCTAGCATCAAGATATCTGGGAGAAATATCAACAACCTCAGATATGTAGATAATACCAATTCAATGGCAGAAAGTGGAGAGAAACTAGAGCCTCCTGATGAAGATGAAAGAGGTGAGTGAAAAGGCTGGCTTAAAACTCAACATTAAAAAAACTAAGATTATGGCATCCAGTCCCACAACTTCATTGCAAATACATGGGGAAACAATGGAAACAGTGACATTTTTATTTTCTTGGGTTTCAAAGTCACTCTGGACAGTGACTGCAGCCATGAAATTAAGACACTTGTACCTTGGAAGAAAAGTTATGACAAACCAAGACAGCATATTACAAAGTGGAGACATTACTTTGTGGACAAAGGTCCATCTAGTTAAGGCTATGGTTTTTCCAGTAGTTATGTATGGATGTGAGAATTGAACCATAAAGAAGGCTGAGTGCTAAAGAAATGATGCTTTTGAACTGTGGTGTTGCAGAAGACTCTTGTGAGTCTCTTGGACAGAAAGGAGGTCAAGCTGGTCAATCCTAAAGGAAACCAACCCTGAATATTAATCAGAAGGACTGAGGCTGAAGCTCCAATACTTTGGCCACCTGATGCGAAGAACCGACTCATTGGAAAAGACCTTGATGCTGGAAAAGACTGAAGGGAACAAGAGGATGAGATGGTTGGGTGGCATCATTTACTCAATGGACATGATTTGAGCAAACTCCATGAGATACTGAAGGGCAAGGAAGCCTGGCATGCTGTAGTTCATGGTGTTATAGAGTGGGACACGACTTGGCAAGCAAACAACAGCCAGAGTCTGAGCTGTAACTTTCTCAGTCCCTATTTGAATCTCTTTACTGTATAAGTATTAAAAATAAAAAAAGAAACTTACCAGAAGATAGCTCCATATTTTTCAGAAATTACAAATTGGTACTACCATATACAAAGTTAGAATTATCACCTCTCAATTTAAGCTAGACTCTAGATGTGTATGTTTGTGTGCTCAGTCATGTTTGACTCTTTGTGACCCCATGGACTATAACCCACCTCACTCTTCTGTCCATGGGATTTCCCAGGCAAGAATATTGGAATGAGTTGCCACTTCCTTTTCCTGGGGATCTCTCCAACCCAGGGATTGAACCCAAGTCTCCTGCACTGGCAGGTGGATTTTTTCCCACTGGGCTACCTACTTGAAATTAAGTCAGCCCTAAAAATCTTGTCTCTATTCTTCCATCTTTATATTTTCTAAGTGGAGTAAAGAGCTGTTTCAATATCCTCTGTTTCATTAGGTCAACAGAATTTCCCACAATAGCCTGATAAATACATGTTGAAACTGTCAAAAAGTTTAAGAAATGAAGCATTTAAAAAGATAAAACTGTTCCTTTTGTTATAAATCTTAATTTAGTGATTTTTATACTTTTCTTGATAAGAATAAATAAAAGGTGACAAATGATGTTTTAAATTGGAAATGAAATAATCAAACAAAATCACATTTATTTCAATAGCTCCAAGTGCAAATACAGCAAGTCAGTACACAAACTTTCAGGACACTGCTTTAAGTACAAAGAAAACTGGATATACAAAAATGAAAGGGTAAATAGCAGAAATAAAGCTCAACTTTTTAAAAAAGTTCAAGTAACCTGAAAACCTTTAGACTAAAGCAGTCTTACATCAATTCATAAATGCCTTAATTTATAGATAACAGTGGTACATTGTAATCAAAAAGGACTTCCCAAAGAAAGAGTCACTTCAAACTGGTCAGCTCCAGATAAGAAATTCCTGGCACTGGCTATTCTGGGTTCGGCACTCACTCACACTGTACAGACTGGTTCAATCCATGGCATCTGATTTTTATGCAAATTCCAGAAAGGTATTTAAAGTTCAGTAGGAGGCCAACACCACTACCAAGAGGTTCCTGAAATGGCCAATATATATTTAAAAGGTTTAAAGACCAATTTTGGCTTCACGCCTATGGTACAATGTTGGGGGAAAGACTTCAATTAATACTGCTTCCATTACTTAAATCCTTTATGTAAGATTAGCAAAATGGCCCTTAAAACTTCCTCAGGAAAACTGTACTTAAATATATGAAAGCTCCCACTAGGAAATTAATTAAAAGTTGTTAATATTCTTTTTAATTACTTACTGACCAAGTCATATGTATATTTCTGCTCCCCAGAAGTAATGTTAGCTACTAGCTTCAATTCAGGAAATGCATATTTGCCGGAAGGTTTACATGAGATGCTTATTCACTCTTTTTCTCAACTTTCTTCATCTTTTCATTGTAGGCATTAAATTGAGAGTCTGTTCCAAAAATTCTGTCCCACCATGTAAATGTAGAAGCATAGTTTCCAATGAAGTTCATGTGGTGGAAATCGTGATGCCGAGAACCAGCATAGAAAGGAATGAGATTTAAAGGGTTGAGAGGAATGTCATAACCACTGAAATGAAAATGATAAAGATTATTAAGGAAGTAAATACACCTTCAATAATCAACTTGTTCACTGACCGTAATATGCTTGTTAACCATTCAAATAACATTCCACTGTACCTAAGTCACTTATTTCTGACATGTTTACAAAAGTTCACAGCAAATGGTACATATCCTAGAAACCACTTTCAGTAATTAAAGAAAAACTTGAACAGTTTATAGAATTTAATATTAATATTGTAATCAGGAGGTGAAGGAAGGATTATAGTAATGAATCCTTAGACACAGATTTTCATGAACGTTTTCTGTTTTAGAGGAATTTGCTTACCAAAGTTTGTAACACCCATAATACTACGTATGTCTTTTAGCAAAAGTTATACGAAATTAGTACCAAGCATTACAAAGGTTAAATCTGAGGATTACTGTTTTGCAACTTCTTTTTAGAGTATCTGTCTTTATTTCTAACTACAAGTCTAAAATCTGATATCTACAATTACAGCAGTCTGAATCACCCCAATCCTTCCCCCTCCTTGAGTAGGCTGAGAAAGAAGGAAGTAGAAAGGAGCAATAGAAAGAAAGAAAAGAAAGAAGGACACATCACCTACCACTTCTCTGCCTAAGACTTCCTAGATGCATTAATTTTGCTATTTTAATGATTCAGAAATAATTTCTAGAATTTCATATTCTGCTTTCACAGATGAAATAAAAGATCCCCCTAAAGTTAAAAAAATATGTAATCATGTTTAAATAATGAATTAGGGTATTGTATTAGGCATTTGAAAAGGAATTAGATAGGAATAATTTACCAAAAAACTTCTTCTCATCAATACAAAGGAAGCATGTGAAATATGCACATAATATTTGTCAGAGGTGGGCAGAAATGTACAGAAATGTTCTATTTAGTGAAGGCTGGATGCTTCAGTTTTTTTTTCAAGTAAGGGTTAGACTTAGGGTCATTACAGAAGAATAAAATAACTGCTGTCCTGAATTACAGTATTTAACCAAATTTTTTATTAAAACCACAAATATTTTTCATTCAACACTGTTTCAGGAAGACATTAAACTTGCTTTTCAAGCAAGGCATGAAACCCAAAAGCCATAAAAAAATAAAACTGATAGATTTTACTATATAAAAATTTTAAAACTTCAGTACTGCAAAAGAACCATCAAGAGTTAAAACTGAAATGACAGATGGGGGAGAAAATATTTACAACATATGTAACAAAGTTACATATGTTGTAATTTCATGTAACAACCATGAAATTAAAAGATGCTTGCTCCTTGGAAGAAAAGCTATGACAAACCTAGACAGCATATTAAAAAGCAGAGACATTACTTTGCCAACAAAGGTCCACCTAGTCAAAGCTATGATTTTTCCCATAGTTATATATGGACGTGAGAGTTGGACCATTAAGCAAGCTGAGAGCTGAAGAATTGATGCTTTTGAACTGAAGTGTTGGAAAAGACTCTTGAGAATCCCTTGGACTACAAGGAGATCAAACCAGTCAATTCTAAAAGAAATCAGTCCTGAATATTCGTTGGAAGGACTGATGCTGAAGCTCCAGTACTTTGGCCACCTGATTCAAGAACTGACTCCTTAGCAAAGACCCTGATGCTGGGAGAGATTGAAGGCAGGAGGAGAAGGGGACGCAGAGGATGAGATGGTTGGATGGCATCACCAACTCGATGGACATGAGTTTGAGCAAGCTCTGGGAGTTGGTGATGGACAGGGAAGTCTGGCGTGCTACAGTCCATGGGGTTGCAAAGAGTCAGACATGACTGAGAGACCAAACTGAACTGAAATGAACAAAGCTTACACGTGAACCAAAATGTTATAAGTCTCCCTGGTGGCTCAGGCGGTAAAAAATCTGCCTGCAATGCAAGAGAGACCTGGGTTCAATCTCTGTGTTGGGAAGATCCCCTGGAGAAGGAATGGCTACCCACTCCATCCCTCAGTACTCTTGCCTGGAGAATTTCATGGATCGAGGAGACTGATGGGCTACACACCACGGGGTCAACAAAGAGTAGGACACAACAGAGCGACAAACACTTTCACTTTTTCATAATAGGTTATAAAACATATAACCTAACAAAAAGTAGGCAAGTGATATAAAATGCTAATTCAAAGAAAAAAAAAAACTGTTGGTCAACAAGCACACAGGCATGTAGCCTCACCAGTCCCTGGGGAAAGCAGATCACAACCCTGAAGGTTCTCTGCTCTCCTAATAATCAAGATTAATGAGATTGTAATGTCCAGGCTGGAAAAGGTATCAGAAGCAGGGAAAGCATTCTTGCAGGCTCCTGCTGGGCATGTAAAGGGATGCCCATGCCCAGTTTTGCAGCACTTCCAAAATTTTGTTTTGTTTTCCCAAATAATACATGAATATAGTCTCACCATAAAAATGATAACAGTTATAGACAAGAATACAAAAAAAGTCTATTATTTGAACTTTTTCCCAACGATTTTGTTCTCCTGTTTTCTTAAAAACAGTAACATTAACAAGGTTTAACTTCTATTAGTCTACTTAGGAGAAAAGGTAATCTATGACAATGACTATGAGTGTGTAAAACGGGTGAAAGTGGACAAAGGTATGAACTTCCAACTGTAAGATGAGTAAGCCTTGGGCATGTCATGAAGAACACAGAGGCTGAAGTCAACAGTCCTGTGAATTTGAAAGTTGCAAAGAGAGTAAATCTTAAAAGTTCTCATCACACACACACAAAATTATAACAATGTATAAAGATGGATCAGCAATATATACATCAAACCATTATTTAGGTATACACTGTATACCTAAAACACAATATGTCAATTACATCTCAATTAAAAAAATAAGAAAGATAATCTGTGACCATGAAGAAAGGATATTTTATGATACCTTCTACCTGAATAGAAACCAAACCTTACCTATGGACATCAATAGTCTCTATCAAACGAACAGTCACCCAGGCCCAAAGAAGAATAACATGATCACATAAAAGCATGATTCCAATGAAAAATCCAGTTCCAAGAATTATGGTTTCCAGAGGATGTGCATATTCAGCTTCCATTCCAAATGGAGCCTAAAATAAGTAAGAATTGCTTAATATATTGTGATGGTTAATTTTATGGATCAACTTATCTAGGCCATGGTGCCCAATTGCTTGGTCAAACACGAGTCTAGATTTGGTGTGAAGTTCTATTTTAGATGTGATTAATATTTAATATTTAAATCGGAAAAGAGGATCCTCCATAATGAAAGTGGGCTTCATTCAATCAACTAAAGGCCTTAAAAGCAGAGACTGAGGCTTCCCAAGGAAAGAAGGAATGCTCAAGACTACAGTACAGAAAACCTGTGTGCTTTCCAGCCTGTTGCCCAATGGATTTCAGATCCAGGACTGCATCTCTCCTGCATTCCCAGCCAGTTAGCTGCCCTATAGATTTCAGATTTGCCAGCCCCCACAATTGCATGAGCCAGTTCCTTAAAATAAATCTGTGTGTATGTATCTCCTATTGATTCTTGGGAGAACCCTGACTAATATATATATGTATTTTAAATTTATTTGTGTATATCATTTTATAAAACTATATCCCTTCTATATGTTATGATAATACAGTCATCCCTCAGTATTCTAAAGGGATTGGTTCAAGGACCCCCATGGATACCAAACTTTAAAAAGGTGCAGTATTTGCACATAACCTATGTACAACCTCCCATATACTTTAAATCATCTACAGATTACTTACAAGACCTAGTACAATATAAATGCTATATAATTGTGTAATTGTTGTAAATACAATTTAAATGTTATGTAAATAGCTGCCCACTCAAGGCAAATTCAAGTTTTGTCTTTAAGAACTTTCTGAAATTTTTTTCCCAAATATTTTCAATGAGGGTTTAAAGAGGATGTGCATATTCAGTTGGTTGAATTCATGAATTCAGAACCCATGGACACTAAGGGTCAACTGTATATCTAGCCATACCTATATAAACATTAACAGTAATTCTCAATAAAGATATCTCTTTACCAAACATTAAAAGGCCTAGGGATGTCCTTAATATGATCTATTTAAATGGTTTGAGATAAAGGCATTAAAAGAACAGACTTGAATTCTAATTTTGGTTTATACACCTGAATTTGTTCTGCCAAGAAAGGGATATTTGGTTTATCATATCAGGTAATCAGGATCAATGCAGAACATACCAACGTAACAAATCTGACAAAGCTAACAACAAAGCAGTTCTGATTAAAAAAAAAAAAAAATCCCTGTTGTGTGGGAAGAAGTTAGCAATGAGGTGGAAAAGCATGAAAACTAACTTGAAAATTACTTTAAAAAATTTAATGATTCAAGGCTGCTTGTTTTGGGGTCCCACTTAAATGATCGTAACAGCATTAGTGCCTCCATCAAACTGTTAAGTACCCAGCTGTGTGAGGACAGTGCTCTGAACCAAAATACAAAAATGAATATTTTTTTTTTAGGCCTCAATTTACCACAAAATTAGGATACTAGTGAAAAATCTGTAGAACCAGCTTTGTGTTCATGTTTATGTGTGTGTGTCTATTCTAAACAATCATGCCAAAGGAAATTGAAATAAAAACATCACTGACAACTTTTTTAAGTTCAGATTTTTTAAAAAAATAACATTTTTGCCTCAAAGAGTGAAAAATATATTAAATATAATTCTAACATACCTGAAACTCATGATGAATTTTATGAATATATTTATATATTCTTTTGTGGTGTAAAAGCCTATGCAAGAAATAGTGCCAAGTATCCTCGATCACTGCACAGCCGAAACATCTTGCCAAAAGCATGTACCTTTAAGATGAAAATACTGTAATGAGGATAAAATAACTTACTAAAACAATCTAGACTTTTACCTAGGATCACTGCTGGAGACACTGCATAAGATCAAATACCATCTTGACCTAACTGGTTATATTGATCAACAAATTCTCAAAACAATACATATAGTTACAAGCTAGATATATGATACCACCTGAAGATGGGTTAAAGAGGCTGACCACCATACCAATTCTAATTCAATTTTAAAAAAAAAGTAAGTTATAAAATCAGAGCTAAGAAACAAAACTCAAAATTTCTAGGCAAAGAGTAACACTGATAAAGGACTTACTATTAATAATAGTAAAATCACTTTCTTCTGCCAAAGAGAAGCATGTAAGTGCAATGGGCAAAAATATTTTATTTATATAGGAACAAATACACAAATTCTCTTATATGTTGCATATATAGTAATAGGAAAAGCACATATCTATATATTGTATATCTGTATTCAGGTTTGGTCAGAACAGAAAGCTAGAATACAAAAATTATTTGAACAAAAATATTTATGCTCAGATAATATATATATATGTGTCTGTATGGACACAATTTTTATAACTTTATACTCATTTTTTTCATTCATTTTAGACTTAAAATGTAATATATTTTTTCTTGGTATAAGTCTCTGTATCCTATACATAATCATATAAAGGATGCCATGGAAACTTCTGATGTAAGAAACTCACCCTCCAAAAAGATATCAAACTATAGAAACACATAAAAATGGGAACATTTCAAGTTTCTACCATGTTTTCTATATTTTATTTACTTCAAAGTTAAGAACAAACATTAACCAAATGAAGAAAGAAGGTAATACTAAGGATATTTTAATTGGATGATAAACCATAACTGAGTATAAAAATCAAATCTTTATCTACATACCATCTTGGCATTGTTTCCCAATCATAGGGAATACTGAAATACTCTGTAAAATAATAAGTTCCACAAATCAATGGAAGCTGGATACAAAAGTGATTAAAGAGAAGCACTTTAAAACATTTCCATTGGTTTTCCCATGTTTCTGGTTTATCCTATGGAGAAAAAGATTAAAACATTTAGTATTAGCCTCTGCTATCAGAAGTTTCACCTGAAAACTAAAAGTAAAGTCTTAGCTTTTTCTCTAATGTTTATATGGGACCTGAAATTTATGTTATTTAATTAATCCTATGTTATGTGGATTCTGTATTATAATTGCTATGTTACAGTAACTAAGGCCCAGGAACTACAACACTCACCCCCACCTTCTAAATTCTTGACAACTATTATCACTACTATAAACAGATGAAGAAATTGTCAAAACTCAGGCTCAGGCATAATGGTCCCAATGATCTTTAAGCAACACTACAGAATGAGTAACTCCTGTTTTTGCTGCCCACGGATCATTTACTTTTATCAGGAATTCCAGAGATGAAGACATGTGTCATGCTACAATAACAGTGAGTTCTCTGAATTGCTGAGGCAGCTATACACACAGCATTGAAAGCCTTACTACACAGGTAAATCAACACCATTCAGTGGTTTTCATTCCCAGAAATAAGTGCATTTTTCATACACATTGACAAAAGTAGAAACTCTCTGAGCTGAAAGAACTCCAGAAACAAATGTGTCTGGTGGTTCCCAAAGAATGGAGTGCTACTGGCCACAGATGAAGTTCACAGATTAAAGTGAAATGAGGAAGTGATCAATGTAGAGAAATGTTCACAAAACCCCATCAGGATTATCAACTTGCTCAGCAAGCCATAAAGAAAAGTGAAAATATATTCAATTCAAAGGGCTCTACTTAGTTATGAGGTCCTTTTGGTTTTACAAAAAGATAGTAATAATAAATAGTTATTGCCCTTTTAAATGTCCTAATACCCCTAAATTCAGAAATCTGCAATGGAAACCACTGACCTCAGCAGAGGCCCAGAGGTCAACCACCTTGCCCAGCATCACACAGGCAGTTATTAGCAGAACTTAGGACTAACTAAAATCTAGGGTTCCAGTATTGTTCTTGAAATTCTTTAGAAGAGCTTCCCTCCCTGACAAAGGATGAGTTCAACTGAGTTCAGTCAGGAAGAAAGAGTTCAGTCAGAGACTTGGTTCTAACCTCAGGGCCTCTGTGAAGCTCACACCTCAGTCTCAACAATAAAATGAGGGAATTAGGCAAGATTAATTTACAATTGTCTGTCTCTGCTCTGAGCATGATCTGACCTTGCTCCTCTAAACTTCCAGTCTGTGACTAGGGACAAAATAAATCAAAGATTCTGGCTTGGGTGGAAAAAGCCACTCTTTTCCCCAAAGAACTATGTTTAACTAACTAGTGATATCTTGGCTAGAATCTAACACTGATGTAGCTGCAGAAATTAACAGAAAAAGAAATCAGTTATAACATTAACTGTCTATTCTATTTCAAAGCAGAATTTTTGGTGTTGCTCCACTAGCAACTTTTTTCTGTACTGTCAGTGTTTCAGGGTATCTGCCTTCAAAATGCATAAACCTGTAATTAACTTATCCTGACTTATTGGCCTGTTTTTAAATCCATTTATATTGTGAAAACTTGTATTGATTTATCTTCAGTTAATTTTATTATTAAAAAATCTCAAAGCAGGGACTTTAATGGTTGCAAAACTCAAGAAACACATGCTAAGTACAGATTTGAAGGCTTTCGATCTCTGTTTATAAGTAACTAGTTGTAAACTAGACTACTGCTTGTCCTTTCTTTTGTCACATTTTTCTCTGGAGTCTTCATAAAATCTTAACTGAAACAGGCCTTTCTCTCTCTGAAAAAGTTACCACCTCTGACTAGTGAGTCAGCTGTAGAGGGCAGAAGGCAGAGAGGGATAGTTTGGCCTGTACAGTTATACAAATCAATCAGCCCCATAAATAATGCACTGGGTGACCCACTGCAGTCAGAATTCCAAATATGCATGAGAATTCCAAACATGCATGAGAACTTAAAGACATTCAAACACAATTCTGCCTTTCAAAGCAGAGCTTTTTATAAAAAGCATTTTGGGAACGTTGTGTCCTTTATTTACAGTAACAGGATGCTCTCCTTCAGGCTTCAGCCTTTTTAATTCCTTCTCCCTTTAATCTTTGCTCTTCCCTCCTCTGACCTGGAGTCTACAAGCAGTTGCCCCCTGCAGTATCCCCAGAAAAGATGAACGCTAGCAGTTGCTTAAAGTGAGACTCACCAGGAGACGCTACAAAGTGAAGAGACGGATTACAGAGGATGCGTGTACTGCCACCAGACAGAACTCTGTGAGTGCAACCAGCCTCTCTTAGATGAACATCCCCAAATGCCTCCTTTACATCAAGACTATGTGCCCGAGACTGAGTTTGCCATGACTTTTTGAAAAAAGTTAATAGTAAGCATTACAAACGATTATAAGTTTACTAAGTGTTGATAAATTATTTCTTTCTCTAACAATATGGTACAGATTCCTTCCTGAGAACTATGTCAAACTCTTTAGTTACAAGAGTTCATTATTTTCCCTATGTCTAAACCTGAGAAGATGGACCACGTATGCAAGCTCTCAAGAAATACTTAGTGCACTGAAGCAAATACTGAGAGGTTAGGAACAGCATCAGTTTTGGGAAGATGACATGAATGCTGCAAAAATACCATACTATATTTAGAGTAAAAACAAAATCTTAACAGTCTTGATAAAAGTCTTAGCATATTAACAACACTGAAGAGTTGAGACATCAAGGATTGTAGTGAATTGCAAAATAATACTCAGGAATCCCCATAAGATTCCCTTCCAGCTAATTAAAAAAATTACAATTTATATATGATAAGACTTCTCCATTAAGTGAGTATAAAGGGAGCATATCTCAACATAATAAAGGCCACAGATGATAAGTCCACAGCTAACATAGTCAATGGTGAAAACCTGAAAACATTTCCTCTAAGATCAGGAACAAGATAAGGATGCCCACTTCTATTCAACATAGTATTGGAAGTCTTAGACACAACAACAGGACAAAAAAAAGAAACAAAAGGAATCCAAATTGGAAAGGAAGAAGTAAAACTGTCACTGTTTGCAGATGACATGAAAAATCCTAAAAACACCACCAGAAAACTACTAGAGTTTTATCAATGAATTTGGTTAAAGTTGTTGGATACAAAATTAATATATAGAACTCTATCAGATTTTTATACACTAACAATGAACTATCAGAAAGAGAATTAAGGAAACAATCCCATTTACCATTTCAGCAAAAAGAATACCATACCTAGCAATAAACCTACCTAAAGAGGTAAATGATCTGTACTCAGAAAACTCTTAAGACACGGATGAAAGAAACTGAAGATGACACAAATGGAAAGATACATCATGTTCTTAGATTGGAAGAACTGTTATACTGAATTGAATTATTATGAAAATGACAACACTACCCAAGATAATCTGTACAGTAAATACAATCCCTATCAAAACACCACTGGCATTTTTTTTAGAACTGGAACAAATAATTTTAATATTTGTATGGGAACACCATAAAACTCAGAGAAGACAACACATCACAACAATACCTTTTTAGATCTGTCTCCTAAAGCAAAGGAAACAAAAGTAAAAATGAACAAATGGGGCCTAATTAAACTTAAAAGCATGTTTTTCATAGCAAAGGAAACTCCTGACAACACAGGCAACTACTGAATGGGACAAAATATTTGCAAGTTATTTAATTTGCAAGACTGATTAGGGGTTAATATCTAAAACATAAAAACAGTTTATATAATTTGATATAAAAATGAGCATTAAAACTTGAACAGACATTTTCCCAAAGAAGACATACAGATGGCCAATACACACATGAAAAAGTACTCAATATCACAAATCATTAAGGAAATGCAAATAAAAATCCCAATGAGATATCACCTCACACCTGTCAGAATGGCTATTATCAAAAAAGACTACAAATACAAATGTTGGTGAGGATGTGAAGAAAAGGGAACCTCGGTACACAGTTGACATGAATGTAAACTGGTGGACAGTATGGAGGTTCCTCAAAAGACTAAAAGTAGAATTATCTTATGACCCAGTCATTCCACTCCTGGGTATATATCTGAAAAAAACAAAAAAACTAATTAGAAAAGATACATGCACACCATACATTCATACCATCATTCTTTACAATGGCCAAGAGATGGAAGCAATCTAAGTGTTCATCGACAGATGAATGGTGGAAGAAGATGGGGTATATATACACACAATAAACTACTCAGCCATTAAAAAAAATGAAATTTTGCCATTTGCAACAACGTGGATGGACCTGGAAGGTATTATACTAAGTGAAATAAGTCAGAGAAAGACAAATATGTACGTTATCACTTAGATGTGAGAAAAAAACCCAAACGAATGAATAAAACAAGACATAGATTCAGATATAGAGAACCAACTAGAGATTACAGCCAGCAGGGAGAGAGAAGAGGAAAGGAGTGAGATAGAGGTAGGAGATTAAGAAGTACAAACTACTACATATAAAATAGATAAGTAACAAGGCTATTACTTCCTTGTTACTTCCCTTTTACTTGTTACTTCCCGTGTTAGCTTCCCTGGAGGCTCAGACGGTGAAGGATCCACCTGTAATATGGGAGACCTGGATTCCATCCCGGGGTTGGGAGGGTCCCCTGGAGGAGGGCATGGCAACCCATGCCAGTATTCTTGCCTGGAGAATCCTCATGGACAGAGGAGCCTCAAAGGCTACGTCCATGGGGTTGCAAAGAGTTGGACACGACTGAGCGACTAAGCACATCAAAACAAGGATAGCTTAGGGAATATAGCCAGTATTTCATAATAATGTTAAGTGGAGCATAATGTACAAAAATTCTGAATCACAATGCTGTACATCTGAAACTAATTTATTGTATATCAACTCAATAAAAAAATTTAATTAAAACTTATAAACTCAAATTAGATAAACATCACATCTATTGAAGGCACAATTCAACCAATTCTTTCTGAAACCTTATCTAGTAATGTCGTGCTGTATAATATGGTAGCAACTAGAGATGTGGCTACTGAACATTTTAAATTCACTTAGTCTTAATTGAGATGAGCTGAAATTAGTGTAAAATATACAATAAATTTTGAACACTTATTGTAAGAATAAGAACACAATATATCCCATTAAGTACATTTTAAATTTTGATTACTTATTGAAATATAATTGAGATTTATTGGATTAAACTAAATACACTGTGAACATTACTCCCCCCTTTTTATTACTTTTTAATATATTCTAGTAGGGAATTATGTATGTGGCTTCATTATATGTCTATTGGACAGCCCTGACATACAGTCTATTTTCAGTTACAAATTATATTTACTTTAAAAATATTCAACAAGACTAATGATAATACTCCAATGAAGTCCATTATACTCACCTTTTGAATTTTGTACTTCTTCATGTAAGGTATGAATTGAAACAAAAATCCAGGTAAACAGAACAAGAAATAAAGGACCTCATGAACTATGAGAGATCCCCATGTTGCAATCTGGAACTTTGTATAATTATTCAACATATAGTTCCAAGCATTTTTAAATGGTTCCTGCAGAGGATTCTCAGGCAAAAGTGAATCTACATATTCCACAGCCAAGGATGCTGAACTAAAGATGCTGATACTTTCATTTGTTGCCATTTTTCAAATCTTTGCAGACAGCCTTATTATTCTGTAAATATAAATAAATAAGTAAATAAGCAAGCAAAATAATAAAATTATAAGATAACAGTTTTTAAAATGCTTCTGATTAATTTTTAAATCAATCTCTCAGATCCTAAACCCATGATTAAAAACACCAGTCTATAGGATGTCATCACCACTTCCATTTGTAGATAGGATTTAAAAGCCACATGTTAATGTTCAAGAGCAGCATCTAAAGAATAGTGGATAAGAAATTTCAAGTCATCTTTAAAGAGACTTATCAATGTGGTCTCCCAGGAAAAACTTGTATTTCAAAGAGTAATAGCTGGGTTTAAAAGTATCACTTAAGACCTATTTAGAAAAAGTCTGCCAATATGACTACATAAATACTAAATACTTATAATCGGGAATAAAAAGACAATCATAAATAAAGTCAAAGATCAAACAACAAACTGGAAAAAATATTTCCAAGAATTATGACAAAGGGCTACAATGAGTGCTTTAGAAAAAGCCTAAAAACCCAATAGAAAAATGACAGACTACTCACAGAAAGTTCACAGAAAAATAAATACAAATACTAAGCAAATTAACAGCTCAGTTCGACTCAAATAGGAAATGCATCCTAAAACAAAAACTTAGTTTCACAGTGCGCCCAGCAGTAACACTTTGGGGAAACCGGCACCACTGTATATTGTTGATGGGAGGATGAATTTATTCTTTGAGGAAAAAAATCACAGTATTTATTACAATTCAAAATGAATACACCTTTTGATCCAGCAATGTTCTCACTTAAGTACACAAAGATGAGCGCACTAAGAATGAAGGAAGCATTGCTCATAATAGTAAAAACAAAGAAAAATACAGCAAGATGTTAGGGCCGTCAACAAGAAATGAATTAAATAAATTCTATCAGGTCCTTCCAAAGACACTGCCACCGAGGAGGAAGATCTACATGTTCTACATAGAAAGACGTCTAAGTGAAATAGCAAGTTGCAGAATGCGTAGGAAGAGCATCACCTATGTTTTTGTGAAAAGGTTATGTCTTTATATATGCACTTTATGCATATATACATAGGAGAAACACACAAACAGAAAATGTACAGAAAATGTATTTGCATACATGGTAGGGAGGGATTATGAAAAGAAAAAACTTTACTTTCCATTTTATACCTCTTATAATTTTAATTTTTTCATGAGTATGTTTTACTTATAAATAAGCTTAATAGGTCAACAAATCAAAAAACAGAGAAACTTATGAAGAATGTCACTTTCCTAAAAACGTTTACTGATGTCCCTAGTTTATGAATTATGATGGGCCCCTCTAGAAATAAATATATTAAGCCTCAGAAGCATTCTTAATATTGTTTAAAATGCTCCTTTGTCCTTGTGCACCAGCCCATGACCCATTCAACTATGGCCAACCCTTCAATAACACAGCTTTGAATTGTGCGGGCAGGTCCACGTAGACTTAGGTTTTTTTTTGATAAACAAATTGGAAGAATTTGGGGAGATTTGTGACAATTTGAAGAAAACTCACAAACTGCATAGCCTAGAAATACTAAAAAAAAAAATTAAGAAAAAGTTAGGTATGTCATGAATGCATAAAATATGAAACTGTGAAAGTTAGTCTCCCAGGCGTGTCTGACTCTTTGTGACCCCATGGACTGCAGTCTGCCAGGCTCCTCTGTCCATGGAATTCTCTAAGCAAGAATACTGGAGTGGGCAGTCACTCCCTTCTCTAGGGGATCTCTCCAACCCAGGGATCAAACCTGGGTCTCCTCCATTGCAGGCAGGTTCCAACAAATCTAATAATGTTGAATCAACACCACTTACTAGCTGTGTGACCTTGAGCAAGTTAAGTAACTTCTCTAAGCCTCAATTTTATTACCTGCAAAATGTAAAGAATAACAATAACTAGATGATGGGAATCTTTTCATGACGTACATATATATCAAATTACCACAATGTACATTTTGCTAACAGAACCTCAATAAAGTTGAAAAAATAAGGAATAACAATACAGTTCTTTTGAAGAGTCCAAGAAATAATACATGTTAACTACTTATGTTGAGGTGACACATAAGCTAAAAGAAGCTAACAATTATTAAGTGCTTTATATACACCAATAACTTCTAAGAGTGTCACATGCTCTCTCTATATTATAGACTTTACTCCTTACCACAGCTTCAAGGTAGACACGTTTATTATTTCCATTTTACAGATAAAAACTGAGGTTTAGAAAGATTAAGTAACTTCCCCAAATTACAAAAACACTAGTAGGGGAGCCTGTACTCTCATCCATTATATCATACTGTGATCCTAAATTATAAAGCACACAATAAACAGTATAGTAAGAGGGGAATAATTCTCAAAGTTCACCCAAGCCTCCTGAAAGAGTATTCCATATAGGCTGTCTTCATTTTCAGATTTCACATCCATTCTCTAGCAATTACAATCAGTTTTGTATTCTAACCAATGCACTGAATTTACTCCTACTAAAGAAAATCACTAAGTTTCCCAGCTGCCAGATCCAACAAAAATATTTTGGAGTTTATTTTATCTGGCCCTTCTGGAAAATTTGATACTTCTCACCTTGATATACCTGCCTTTCTTGCTTCTTGGGATTCATATGTATTCACTCTGATTTAACATGTGGTACCATTTGTAGCCACTGCGCTTCCTGCTGCTCTCACCCCTGACTTCAAATCATAAACTCTAGGGAGGAATACAAAGAAAGAACAAGACTGTCACAACATCCATGATAAGAACAATAAAGGGTTGGAAATATAAAACAGAGAGGCCCAGGGAAGAGATCTTAGAGAAAGAGGCATGTAAACTCAAACCTGGAGTGTGGAGGGAAGGCAGTTAAATCTAATTTAACTAGATCAAAAGAGAGTAAAGTAGGCAGGATGGGGTCGATGGGTGGTTTTGAGCAGAAGAAACATCAGTTGTAGAGACTCAACCAGGAGATAAGAAAGGATACAGCACTTTCCCGTTGAGTATGTCTGTGGTACAGCTTTTGAGAAAGAAAGGCTCAAGAATTGAGGCTGAACAGTTTCCCAGAGATGCTTGATTTACTCCAACTATTCCAGATTGTCAGGAGTGATCATATCTGTTCCCTGTTGTGAGAATATGCTGAAATCCTCTCTCTTTCTTTCTCTAAAACCCCAAGTTCTGATTATCCAAAAGTATACTAGCCATCTCCAATTTAGGCAGTTTGGAGGCATAGCAAAGTCAACATGCCCCCAAATTCGGCCACTACTCCTGGCAACCTGCCCACACACTCCCTCCCTACCTACTTTAACTTGGTGAACTGATGCCACTACCTACTTAGTCATCTAGGACAGAATATTCCAGATCTCTATCTCTGCTGCCTGGATTAAATCTTCAAACACCCGATTTAGAGACAACTGGTTTAATTAACATTCAGGAGTTTACTCTCTAGATTTAAGGGAGGGAAATGGATACACTACTGCCAACCGAACAAAAGCAAAAAATAGGTATTAAGGAAGAGAGGAGAGGGGAAACAACGAGTGAATTTTCTTTCTTTTTTTCATCCTTGCACAACTGGATTGACTTGAGGTCTGCTACAGACTCAGAAAAAAAGAAATGTAGTCGTCTGTGGATCCCCCCTAGAAACTTTAAAGTTTCCCTGTCTCTGAGACCTGCCAGCAATGCCCGGCCTTTGCCCGGCCCGGACGCCAAGCACCTCCAAGTGTGCCCTTCTTAAACCCTCCCTCTAAAACACGAGGCCAGCATTCATGTAAACAGCAGACAGGGTTCAGCCCTTCTGCAGACCCTTTACAGTTTCAGGGAGCGCCTCCCCACAGATGAAACACCTGGGCCTCTGCTCTCCTTTAACTCTCAGTTTTTCGCCCCCACCCTCCGTACTGATACACGAAGGCCTCTGACTGTCCTCCGCTTCGGGCCTCTCTGGCCAAGAAACAGCTTCTCTTGCCGGTAGAGCCCTCTGCCCAATTGCTATTCACCCTTCAGAACCCTCCAGGACGCCCTTCCCACCCGCGCGCCCCGCCGCGCCTACAAGGAGGTCTTGCTTCTTCCTTTTGTAGACCTCTAGTCACGGTCACTCTGTGCTGAGCACTGCCTGGTTCCGACATTAAGAGATTTCACTCGTTTCCACCCATACCTGCCGCCAGGCTGTCCGTCCCGGCCTCTGTACGTGGGAGCCGACCGAGGCCCCTCCAACCCGTTCACTCACCTTAATGCGCCACCCAGTCTGCAGCCACCGCCTCCAGAGCTGCGATAGGCGCTGCCACTCGGGAGTCGACAGGCTCCTCCGCTGTTATTGGCTTGCGTGGGCCCCGCCCCGCCTTCTGAGAGCCGTGATTGGCCTACGCAGCTGCCGGCATCGTGTGACTCGTGCGAACACGGCACTGGAAGCGCGGCCATTGGCTGCTCAGATGGAGTGAGGATCGTGAGAGCTAGGCGTCCGGCCAGTAGCTGGTCCGCCAGCCCGGCTAGGCTGGCGAGGCCTTGAGACGTCGCCTAGCAACCTCAGCCCCGCCCAGCACCCTCAGCCCCTTCCAAGAGCATGCGCACTCGGGGAGTTTGCAGGCGCGCCGGCCCTGAAATCTTTCTTTACTAGGAGCTGTATTCACTGGCGCGCCTTTAACGCTGTTGCGCCTAAAGTTTAGACCTCTTTCTCATCCCAACCCCAGCGTCCTTTGATAACCCCTATATGTACCTGGGAAGTGGGTAACTCCAAATGCAGCGCGATGCCTGTTTGAGCACGGGAAGCCAAGAGTCGGAGGTTTAGAAGAGACGACGCGCAGCAGTTGGTTTTGCTGCCATGGTCGGCCGCCTCCCGCCCCTCCGGGGATGCAGAGATGTGCACGGATGGGGGTCATCCACGAAATTAAGCTTTCGCTTAAGAGAGCCTTTTTAAAATTTGCACAAGGGCACTACTCGCTCTCGTTGAAGGCACTTTCTTTGCAGGACTTTGTGCAAATGGGACGCTATCGCTTCTCATAGCTGTG